ATCTATACTAATATTATAAAGAGGTAATGTTTGTATGTAAGTTTGGATGCAGCAGGTAATCTCCAAAACTACTCATCCGATTTCAAAAATTTTTTCACCAATATTTAGAATGGAACTTCAGGGTGGACATAGGCTGTATATTATTCCGTTAAACATGGGAGATGGACAGTTCTTTACGGTAAGCCTTACGGGAAAGGCTTACCGTAAAGAACTCTGCTTCTATTTATACTATTTTAGATGCGGTTTTTTGCATTTTTGATTGCATTTTAATAGAGTACGTCAACAGAATGTACACAAAGAAGGGATTTTTCGATATTCCCCCCGGGGGGAGAGAGACAGGATTAAGGATTACTGTGAAAAACTTGGCTTCTATTATAGATGCGGGTTTTTGCGTTTTTGATCGCGTTTTAATAGAGTACGTCAAGAGAATGTACACTAAGAAAAAATTTTTCGAAAAATTTTCCCCCATGGGGAAGTGTTATACATTTATAATAGATACATTTTGAGCCACAACAAGGCGTGGCGGAGTCTGCTAGTCCATATATAAAAGGACTATATGAGAATATCAACAAAGATTTACAAAAAATAAACACAAAACTAGCCCCAAAATACGAAAAATTAGAAAATAGATTAAGACTGGTAAAACCTAATAAAGTAGATAATAAAGAACAAGAAACAAAGAACGCAGTGTATAAGATACCGTGTACCTGTAATACAACTAACTACTATATAGAAGAAACTAAACGCAAACTGGGTATACGAGTAAAAACATATTGCAGATCTCAAATGTAATTGACTAAACTCCATTTTTCATGACCATTGTTTAATAAATGACTGTAATATAGATAAAAATAATGTTAAAATACTATACAAAGAGAAAAATATGTATAATAGAAAATTTAAAGAAAGCGTCTCAATTTTAACAGCCAAAAATTGTATCAATAAAAATTTAAGTGTAAAAATAAATGAGAACCAGATGAAAATATTATAATACACTCAATATACATTAATGTTGATTGTAATTATCTATAAAGATTATACTGTTGTTAATATAAATAATATCTTTCTTTGTAACATGCAAATCAGTACAAAACTGCAATGCAGTATGTAACACGGATACAATTAAAAAACAATAACGTAAAAAACTGTATTTCTTTTTTGAGATATATATGTGATTATGTCTAGATTCCTGGATATTATGAAATAAGTAAAAGATCATTTATAGCAGATTCTAATGAAATTACTCCACTTATTGTAAAATAAGTTGTGCGCACTTATTGGATTAAGACCTTGTATGTATAACAGATTAAAAATGGATAATGTAAGAAATATACATTATTTTAATTCTGTTTTGTTAGATATTTTATGTAATACAGTAGAGCGTCGATTTTCCGAATCAATTGGGGACTGGGGTTGTTCGTATAACTGATATTTCGGTTAATCGATTTATGTACGAAAAAATAGTTTAACGTATCCGATGTTGAAATTTCTCTCCGTTGCATGTCGCTTCGCGTTGAATTTTCGTCGATGTTAAGCCTAACAAAGACTATTGTATCGTTAAAAATTATTTTTTTATTTTGTACGAACAAAATAAATATATTGAAAAATATAAAAACAATAAAAAATTATACTTCAGANTCCAGATAAGGAAAAATCCGGATAATCGAAATAAATACTTTAATTTGTCTTTTAATGATAATACAACACGTTTTCTTTTCGATGACATATTGGTAATATTAAAAGTAAATACTGTATTTAAATTGTGATCAAATTTTCAAGAAACAAACGTTCGTATTGAATTTGGACTACTACTGACCAACGCTAACCCTCTGGTGGCGCAAGAAGACGGATTTTATAAAATAATAAAGAAGTTGAAACTGCATTTTTATGAATAAAAATTTGACAAACTATTTATCGTTTTATGATGAGTAAAACTTTTTTGTGGCATTCACGGCTTTTAAGTAATACATAAACTTTCGAGACGCAAGGCCCTTCGGACCGCGAGGCATAGGTGGTGGCCCATGTTGCCCATACGCCGCCCTTGGTCATAGAAATGATGTAATTTGAATATAAATTATTTATAAATACGTATGTCAAGTTATATTTTTATTACGATGCAAAATATATTTAAGAGTTTATGGTCACTGTTCCAGATAAGTCGTTGTTAAAACAAAAAAGTTATGCATTCCATCATGTACATAAACAGTATCATAATTTGCCAAGTGCAAATAAGCAAATTCGTAAAATTTTTGTTTATTTTGAACAATCGGGATAATCGAAAATCTGGATAGTAGAGGTCCGGATAATCGAGGTTCTACTGTATTTGTAACATTATTTATTCACACTGTAGTATATATACATTTTAAAGCACTATATTTTAGTGATTCCTTGTCAGTATAACACCTAAAAGATACAATGCTTTTTTAAAAAGACACAAATACAATTCGATTTATTACAGAATAAAAATAATAAACTCCACCATACCTTTAAAATTCAGGCTATTTTACACCTATCGAACGTTTTCGGTCAGATTCACAGACCTTCTTCAGGATCGAACTATCAGATTTTAAATTTGCAAAACGGAAATTCCAAACTGCACGTTCTATAATCTTCTCAATTGCGCATGCTCATTATTATAATTTAAACGTTGCCGCTTTCCATGCCGATGCTATTTTGTTTGATTCACGGAAATTTATATTTTTCCCTTTTTCTTTGCTCTTGTAAATGTGCCAGGCTTCTGCATACTTTAGATGCCTTCTATTTTCCACTTTTTGTATGACATCTGCCTTGCTCCATTTGTATACACCTGGCATCAGCCTCCTGATAGGAAATACAAAAAGTGGAAAATAGAAGACATCTAAAGTATGCAGAAGCCTGGCACATTTACAAGAGCAAAGAAAAAGGGCAAAATATAAATTTCCGTGAATCAAACAAAATAGCATCGGCATGGAAAGCGGCAACGTTTAAATTATAATAATGAGCATGCGCAATTGAGAAGATTATAGAACGTGCAGTTTGGAATTTCCGTTTTGCAAATTTAAAATCTGATAGTTCGATCCTGAAGAAGGTCTGTGAATCTGACCGAAAACGTTCGATAGGTGTAAAATAGACTGCATTTTAAAGGTATGGTGGAGTTTTTTTAAATAGTAATGCAGTTAGAGATATAATAAAAATAATGCTTGCAAGTATTAATGTAGTTAGTAGACGTGGCTATCCAGTGTATCTGAATGCTTTGATGATTAAACACATTAAAACATGAGGGATGATATGGTTTATGTAAAATATAATAATAAATCATGAGAGTACTTATTATAACTGATAAATGGTTAAAATAATCAAGTTGAATTATGTGGTTACTAATGAGTAGACTTAAATCAAACATATCGGCCTGGGTTTCTTACTGTATTATTATTTAATTTCTGGTAAATGTAAAGAATTTGATGGAACCTTTATAAAACCCTTTTATGTGTTACAAGCAATTAGGAAACAAGTTTTTATATATCTTATTGAGTAGACGTACATTGTCAAGGACATTCTAGCATAATGCTGTCAAAGCGAGTGACAACCAATCACTGGTTTACTGATAAACACTTGTACTTACTATGTATGGTCATACCAACATGATTCTATTTACATTCCTTAGTTTAAACTTGTTGTTTTTGTGTCTGCAAATTTCAGTATTCTCTTTAAATCTATATTTAAATTGATTTCTTTCTTTATGCAGAACTTCAATATTATCTAAATCTAAAGATATTCATTCATGTATTGGGACCAAGATGAATCTACATACTATAAATGGATGGTGACCAGATGTTCCTTGACTTGTTTAATTTTCTTTTTGTTTCTCCTATATAAACTTCAGACGGGTAACATGTGCATGATACTCTATATACAGTCAACACCCTATAACACAGTAGGTACATTCCACTTTATAAGAATTTCGCGTTGTAGGAATCCTTAAATACATGAGCCAATCACAGCCTGGCACGTGTGCAGTTTATGGACTACGGCTGTTTGAAAGGTTTTCTTCCATAAAATTAATCGATTCTAGACTAATTCGACTCAACATTTCCAAAACACGTATAATTTTTTGGAAATAATTTGTATAAACTATACTATAAACAAAAAATTGTAGGATTACTTACCGAGTGTGCACCGTTCGACGATGCCATTGCTTAAGCTTGTTTTCGTTGCGAAGCAGTGCACCAAACAACAGGCGCATTTTCTGATCAACGAATTTTTTTCAGAAAAATAACTTAATTTTGGAGACATCATTAATAGAAATAATTTTTATGGCCATTGAATAAGAAATGTTTTTTTTACAAGAAATGTATAAAATTACAGTACTGTATTAGACTTACAGTATTTAATTTATATACTGTACAGACAATAGTAAACTCAACTTACCTGCCTAAACTCTCTGTAGCATGTAAGTAGTTTCGCTGCTCATCAACTATTGGTTCAGATTTGACCAATCCTGTCGCAACACAAGTCGGCGATGACGTTTTACCACATTTTACGAGCCTCTTTTAGTGTCTTTATACGAATACGATTGCAATTTTTTTGCTGCGATATACGAAACCGCATTATATGAACCCACATTATAGGGAGGTCTACTGTATTACACCTCGTAGGGTTGATTTATCTGTTTTTTTTTCTTTTTTGTAATTTGGAATACCAAAGTGCATAAAATTTTTTTTTTACAAATTAGGAAAGAAGAGAAGAATTATTTTCATTATGCTTATATGTCCAGTATGTTGCTCCAAAGTAACACAACATTAGTAACACAACAAAAGTAACACAGATTTCAATGTATAGTGTGTGTTGCATTTCTGCAACACATGACAATTAATTTTGATTCATAATTAATAAATATATAAATGTAACATTCATTAAGNTAGCCAAAGATTGAAGCTCCACAGCACTGGCAAAAATTTAAATTTGCCGACTGGAAATCTTTCGGATGATTGACTTTCGGAAAATCGACGCTCTACTGTATTTTAAAAAATTGTATCTTTCAGTTGACTGATGAGGGGCTTTATGCCCTAAACGTGTTGTTGTCACGTATCATATCAACTAAAAAGTGATGGAAATAAAGTCAAGTGTTTATTTATAACTCACATTTGAGTATGAAGTCCAATATAATAAATTCTCGACAATAAAATACATTTCTTTAAAAAACTTACAGTAAACACGTATCCTAATATCGTGTACATTTGGATTATATTTCCAAAAATTTTTATTACAAATTTACATAATTGCATTTTTCTGTATAAATAAAATAAATCATTAATTTTTTAAAAACTTACAATATCAACCAATACTTGTAATAATTTTTAACTTACATCAAGGTTCTACTCGCCATTAGCTAAGGACATTAAGAAAATGTGAGTCTATCAGCCATTTATACACTTTGCTCTTTGTAAACATCAAGTATGGTGTCCCAGGTTTGATGGATTATTCTTCCTAAATTGTTATTTAATTTAGGAAGAATAAATTAGGATGTTAGGATATGTGTTTACTGTAAGTTTTTTAAAGAAATGTATTTTATTGTCAAGAATTTATTATATGCTTAATATACAATACTGTGAGATCCGAAACTAGTGGAATTATTTTGTTTAAATATTTTTTGTCAAGAGACAAAACTAAAATTGAAATTGTCATCACCCAATAAAATAGAAGGCCTCCCCGAGTATAGCTTATCTTTGATGTCATATTGCCTGGCTTTAAATTTACCAAACCAATCGTAGATCATAGATGACATTATTGCCACACAATTGCACTACACAGAGTCTAGTTATAAAAAGTGGTCTGTTAGATTAATACAGCAATTTTACATACATATTTTAGCACACTCCCTTAGTATAATTAACGCTTATGATTCATTAACATTAGACATTCTTAATAAAAATTACTTTGTCTCCTGAAATAAACATTTTATCTTACCTTTAAAGAAATATCATTATAAAAATTACCTAATAATATATTTTTGCATGTAAGGTTTCGTGTAGTGAACTAAATGTTGTGTTATCTCCCAAAATGTGATTGGGAGAGCCATCAGAACAAAAATACCTCCGATAAACCACGCCTGATCGTGAGAGGTGACGCCATTTTCGGTGAGTCGCCAAATACACAAAGGAAGCAATACCAAAATTATAATTCCATAAATTATCATAACAACTGGTCGAATCCACATACGCCATCTTCTCGTGCACCATTCTAACATTTCTGACAGAAATTATTATTATAATAGCTCTGTATTTTAAAGTGCCAATTCTTGATATTATCTGGAAGATAAAAATTCATTTATCAATAATGTTGCATTTATTGCTATTTATTTTAAATTTATCTAAATGTTTTTCTATTTTATCATAAATAAAATGACTTTTGAAGATTAACTACAGTACTTTTGTGTAGATAACACATGGTGACATATACCTCAAAAAATCTATGATGAAAATGAAAGCATATATTACAGTATATACAGAAGGGATGCAAAAGTAGGTGTATAGTTGTTGTTATGGAAAAGGCATAAAAAAAATATTTATTTTTATTATGATTCTTTTTCTAGGGATTCACAATACTTCCTCTCAGACTATCAGAAATCCATCTTTAGTTTCATCACCTCCATTAATCTCAGGCAACAAGTTACTCAGAGTAAAAACAAATTCTGTAACAAAGGAAATCTCTAACTCAGGTAAACTTAGGTGAGTATTTTATATAAATGGTACATTCAAGATAAAAGATTACTTTGATATAAATTTTTGTTGGTGGTTTGTTGGTTGAATGTTATTGACAATCTAAATAAATTCCATTTAAAGTGATGCTAATAATCGACAATGTACCAGGTCATCCCCAGAGACTTTAACTAGTTTTGACCCATGTGTGAAAGTTATATTTTTGCTATCAAATACTATCAGTTTGCTTCAACCGATGAATCAGGGAGTCATCAAAACATTCAAAGCTTATTACACGAGATGATAGTTTGCACATCTGCATGAAGCTATGAGACAAAACAACAAGCTCTCTGTTAAAAACTTTTGGAAACAATTCAATGTTTTAGAGCAGTGAGAATCATTGAACAATCTTGGAATGAAGTTTCAGAAAAAAACTTTAAATGGCGTCTGGAAAAAAACTGTGTCCTTTTTTCACCAGTGAAACTCGGGAGGAATCAGTACCAGAGGCTGATGAAATTGGTAATGTGATTGAAGAAGTTGTCAATAAATAGGTAAATAAATTTAGAAGTGGATTGTGATGACGTTCAAGAACTGCTGAATTTCCACAATCAGGAGCTGACAATTGATGAGCTCATAGAAATGTGTGAGCAAGAGTCTTGACAAGTTCTTCAATGTCAAGACATTGAAGAACTTGATTCTTTAGACCAGTTCAATTAGAAGATCGAATGACGGTTGGAAACTTGACAGAAGGCCTCGGGTCAATTGAAAAGGGGTTACAAATTTTAGAAAATATAGACTCCAATGAAGAGCACATTTCTTCTACAAAATGAGAAATAAAAAAGTTATTAGCGTGCTACAAGGAAATTTTGCAGGAGAAAAAAATCTTTGAGCTGTCAGGTGAATTTGTTAGATTTTATGAAGCCTTTTACATCAAAATAACTTCGGTTTACGATTTTAATAATATAATTTGTTATACACATGTATTATCTAAGATATTATTAAACATTTTTTTTAAGTTATTGTTTTCTTTAGTCTCCGACTCCAATTAAAACTAATTTGTATATATTTATGTGGGAAATTATACCTTGACTTATGCGGTTATTGCTTGGTCACACCTATTGCATAAGTTCGGTGTATTACTGTAATGATAAATGGTGATTGACAACTAAACCAGATTAAACTTCTCTAACAGATAAAGGATATTGTTCAACTTCTTATAATCTGCCCTCTTCTCCTATTCCTTTTTTAAGTCAGTCTTTATTTAATACTTATAGTCAAAATTCATCATCTGAAAGAATAAACTGATTTGTTGTTTTTCTTTTAAAATATTTTGTACCCAATTGATTCTTTCAGAATATTGAAGGCAGGACATTGCATTTTTATAAGGTTGGTTATGGGCAGTGATGTTTTTATTTAGAGTGTCTGCTATTTAGAGGTATATGTAATAGATGTCCTATTTGAAGGGTCTGGGGATTATAAAAGTGTCTATTAAGTAGACATGTCCACTATTCAGGAGTGTCTGTTAATGGAGGTTTCACTGTATGTATAAAATGTTATACTGTCAAAGAATTATGTAAAGAATATTACATAACTCTTTAACAATACATTTATTACTATATAATGTTATGTAATATTTTATGCATGTATGTTATGTTTAATATCAGGTTAAGATTTGCATTTCAATTATTACTCAATTTGTTTTTTAAAAAACAGAACATTAGTTAGAATTTAAAGTTTGAATCTTCTTGTTAAACCTGATGCAGACCTATGAAAAGAGATCTGTGAAAATATTCATTTAAATAAATTAAAGACTTGTTGAAAAGAGTAATTAAGGTGTTGTTTAAGTTATAATTTTCTTTGAGGTAACTTGAATCTTATGGACTGATTATTTAAAAATAACATTAATAGTTTTAATTTCAAATGTTTAATTTCTGTCTATTGTTTGAAATGATTTTCTTTAATATTGTTTTAGGATATTTACAGTCTAGTAAGCCAAAAAATGTTGGAAAAATTGTAAGTAATCTGGAATTATCCTAAAACATTATATTAAAAAAGTAAAAAATGTTTTTAAAAATATTAGNCACTTGTAATCGTCCAATGCGCCAAGTTTGGCGCATGCGCCACGTTTTGGCCACCCCTGCAGTAGAGCATCGATTATCCGACTCAATTGGGGATTCGCGTTAGTCGGATAACCGAAAAAAAGGAAAAAAATATTTATTTTTATATATAAATTAAACCACAAATAAGAAATATGACAAAATAATAAAAGACAAAAAATAATAATAATAAACCCCAAACATCTGTATTTTCTGGATTCACAACTATGTACAGTACGTACCTACTTTTGCAAACCCCCATATACTACATACGAGCACTGCCAAATAAGCAGAGGGGCTTAGTTACTTCATATCCACTGCAGCTACAGTTCTGCACTACCTCCAATGCAATCATAGAAAACATTTTTCGAAATCGCTCATCTCGGCTTCAGATTTCGAACTGTAGTTAACCTGTTAGCAAAAGTGTCTCCCTTCATCCATCTTTTATATGTCTACACGATAGGCCCCCTTTTCTCCCCTCCCAAATGTAACAACTTCCCCAATACGGATAAGACCACCTACGACCAGAATAAAGAAACGACGAATAATCATACCAAAGCATTAGTGACAAAACCCATAATAGAAAAGTATCGTATAAGCATCGATATAGCATAACCAGACGAGGTTTCACGAGTCTGTCAACCGTAAAGACGAGAGTAGGGTTGCAAGAGAAATGTCCATAATCATCAAATCAAAGACTCCGTAGAAACGTAACGACGACCGGGTTTTAGTTCGATGGGACACGAGCTATCCGCCGAGGAGGACACTTTCCGGAGGATCTTCTACGAGGAAACTAGTCTCCATTTAGGTGTTAGAAACGCAAATTAAACTGGAAAATTCTACATTGCCACCTTGTTGGAAAGACACGAACGCAAACTCCATTTTTATATTTTAGTCTCTTAAGGCTTAAGTGATTAAATTAAATATATTTCATTTCAAGTGCGATTTAAAGTTTAAAACGTGTAATTTCAAAAACCATAATTACACAATTATTAACAGAATTCGTGAAAAATGTAGGATATACGAACAAAAATAATTGATTAAATAATAATTATTTAATCAATTATTACGTTTAACATACGTAATAATAAGTATTAATAACGTAATATACGTAACAAACAAAACTCGAACATACGTAATAATCAAAATTCAAATGCAATAAATTGATTGGTACAGAATAAAAGTCCCACACATACCTAAATTACGATTATAATATCATTATAAACAGCAAATTCGTCGACGTTTTTAAACAATTCTCATTCCATTCGACCATTTACGCTTCCATAACAAATTTAAAAAACAAAACCTGGAGACTTGACACAATTTACCAATCGGTCAGCTGAGCCGCCGACATTACGAAAATGATGCAAAAAATAAACAATCGCATTTAAACACGAAATTTTTATTAAAGATAAAATAAAATATTATTTTAAATTATAATTAAATATCATTTAAAAAAATTTAATAAAATAAAACGTAATTATTCGATTTACTACGCTATTAATTTTTAATGTTTCGTTGCTGTAAATTCTAATTAAGGCATTTTATCGGATAATTAATATAAACTATTACTTTTTATGTTAATTAATTAATTAATTTTTAATAAATTTTGCATTTTATTGTAAAATAATTAGGCGATATCGCCGGAAGGTGTTTCTAATGCGTCATCAGAATCACATGGTTCGGTTTACTCATCCCGTCGACGTCTAAAGATCTGTACGTGTGTCGGAATGGAGTTTTAATAAATCTCGAGCAAATACCTATAATTTTTAATTGCGTATAGATTTATAAGGTTAAAAGTAAGTCTACGTCTCTTATTTTTTACTAAATATTACGAAATTAAATTATAAACTTGTATTAATTTAAATCGCGGGAAGAGTGAAATCGACATATTTCGATGTAAACAAATATTTTTGAATTTACAATGAATTATTTGAAATATTTGTCTTGTAATCGACGAGTTTTCCTCAAGCCATCGCTTTATGGAGTCACTAAACGTGATTTTTTTTTTCCTCATACGATTTTCCTCCAGAAGAAGCTCGCTTTAAATAATTGTTTGTCAAAGTTTGAATTTAATGCCTTGTTATATTTGTGTTAATGTGGATAAAATGTTAGACTGGTTCTATAATTTGTCTTGAATACTCCCATTTTATTTACTCTTGTCACTAACCGAAAGGTATAGAACTGGCCGTAATAGTTGTAATTGTATCTCTAGTATTATATTGGATCGGGGCGCAATTAGGCTCTCTGCCCCGAGGCGGACTCCTCTTGTACTGGAGGTTGGGGACGTCGATGATGCCCGAAGAGTCCCTCTTGCGCATCTTTTCCTGGCGCTCCCTTACCCGACTCCGATAAATTTTTCAAATAATTATGCGCTCTCCGATTGCATCCCTATTATCTGGCACTTTGTGTGCTCCTAGTTGTTTCTCTTTATTAAATGTGTGAATATTTAATCGTTTGAAATTTTTGTATATTTAATTTAGTTTGCTTCGCCGTTGTCATTTGTTTTACGGATCGCCGATAATGAGTGCGGTATTGTATTTCGAGCGGGTGTGTGGATTGTGATTGTAATCGGTGTGTGCAGTTTGAATAAGATTTTTTCTTTTGTTTATATATTTTAGTACGTCGATGATTATATGACGTAACTGGATTTTGGATATTGGAAAAACATACCATAAATATAGAGAGTAACTTTGCAACAAAACTAAAAGAAATTTGTGCCAACCTGGTGGATAAAACCACCAGAGTTTGTGCCTTGCCAAATCCCCAACCGACTACCAGCTTGGAAAACTCTACGGGCCAACCATACAGAGTTTTCCCTGTTTTCTTCATGTTAGTAATGCCTAAGTGGGGGCCGGTTTCCCTTAAAAGACCTCTCGGGAGGCAGTTCTCCCTTGGTGGATCACCCACGTGTCGCATTACCTTAAATGAATAAAACCGAAACCAAAAGAAATTTGCACAAAACTTTCAAAAGCTTCCAAGTGAAGGAAAATGGAATTTGGTTTAATTTTTATGATTTTCATGATTATAATCATGCAAACAAAAAAAATTCAAATTCATGCAAATAAAGCCAAGCTATAAAATCTACTTTATGAAGCAGATTTTTAAGTTTCAGTTTAAAAATTTGTTTTATTTTTCGTTCTTATTTCATTTTTTAAAATTCTTTTATTAAAGAATTTGAATCTGAAAATTAATTATGGTTGTAATTCATGTGTCTACTCATAACAAAATACAATATATCAAAAATTTTGTAAACAAAAATAAACAGTATGATCATCATTAAAAGTGCAGTTGGTGTTTGTTTATCTGGTACCTAATAATCTTAAATGTCACTAATCTGGCACCCTGTTAAAAGTAACTAAGAATCCTACATCATATTATTTCATGAATCAGAATTTGTTTGGGTATGTGGTACACTAAAGATTGGTAAAAATCAAGGTAAAGGTGAGAATGTGGCTTTGACATGTCTTTTTCCACTTCTTTCATCTGACGTAGACTTTTTCTTTGGGCTGATTCGTGTGTACTCTTTCACCTCACAGACTATGGAATACTATGGAATCTTTTTAAAACTTTGGGCTGTCACGATAGGTTGTTCAACAGGTTTGAAGTTATTTACTATAAACTTTGCCTGGATCTCTGTTGGGGTCTAACACTGGCATCTCATTATAGTCTTCTTTCTTTTGCATTTTTATAAAAAACTTTTACATAAGAACAAGCAATTATTTATTGTGAAATTGTCACAATATCACTCTGCAATTTTTAATCATATTTTTAATTTATTTAATTTAAAATATATGCTCTCCACCTTAAATTTGTAGTGTCTTGCCCCTAGACGACATACTTTTCCTTTAATAATGGAGTGCACCAGTCATCTTTCGGGGAAAATTTTTAAATTGAAATAACACAACTTCTGGTTTGCATCAGAAGTTCTTATATAGTTAATTTGAACCACTTGCCTGTAAAGTTTTCATATTATGTCTTGTCTTTCCTCTATCTAACTCCATTCTTGAGATTAAGGAAAGATGGACGGACGGATGACAGTGGGAACCTATAAATCTACAATTTTTCAAATCGCAGCCCAATTAAGTAAAAATTTGAAAAATTAGCATGGAATTTTAAATTTTAAAAATGATTAGCACTGTCAGTGAAAAATAAATGTTCATATTAATTGCGGAAATGTTAAAATTAGGATGATGGACACGATTTATCTGGTCTAATTTAAATCTATTTTAAAACAATGTGATTTTATAATGTAAACAAACGATAAATAAGTCTTATTACACATGTACAACTTTAAAATTAACACAGTAAACACATCTGTGTAAGATTTAAGAAAGTCTGACACAAGTGAACGAACATAGAAATGAAACACGAGTGCCATTCGCTGAGTTTTCGTGTACATTTCTAGTATATACAAGTAACTTTCAGTTGATTCTTTACAAACAGCTGGCAAGGGATCTTGCACGACTTTTCTAGCACTTATAATATACAAAGGTAAAGTTGTGTGTAGTATCATCTGTTATGAGATTTTATTAAAAAATAATTTTTTATATTATTAATTAACATAAAAAGACTTAATTTTGAGGCTAGAGATATGTTTTTAAAAAATTGTAAATGCCGATAAAGAGAGAAATTTTCATTAAGTCTGACCTCAGACTTCTATATCCTCACTCCCTCAATCTTTAATTACTAAAATTTAATTGCATGTAGTGTTTTATATATACAAACAATCCTGCCAAATTTCAAATTTTTTGGTTCATGCATTCCTGAGATGTAATGCAAAATTATCTTCTAAATTATTAGTATTATAGTCATTTCTAGCCCGATAATATTCAGCTTTGGTTGGTGTCTAGCTTCATGCATTCCTGAGATATAATGCAAAATTGACATAAACACACACAATTTTGTAAAGGTTCTTTTACATTGGGTTCGTGGAATGTCAAAACGTCAAAAAATGCAAAAAAAAAAAAAAACTGGAGTCAAAATTTGAAAACCAATTTACATTTTTTATAGAGGTTGTAGTTCAAATAAAAGGTCATCTCTAGGTGAAGATTTATTTATTTATCTGTTTTTGGTGTCAATGGTGATTGAAACAGCAGATTGTGAAGACATATTTTTGTATTCTTTGTTACAATTTTATTACTTATCCTATCTTTTCCTGTTTGTGTTTTGTCATCAGATGGGTCAACAAACAAAGCTTTCTTTTATTTTTTCCTGTTTTCTACTTTTGACTACTTTTCCCCCTCTAGTTTTAACACCACTTATTACTAGATACCAATAGGATGTCTGAAAAATTACTGTACATTGAGAAATTTGTAATGACATTAAAGCTATATGTATAGGATTGCATACAAGATCCATAAGTTGTCTGTCCCGCATTTCCACACTAATAGATGACATGTTCTGGTTTTTGGAAGGCTTCTTTGCCAATTGCATAGTCTCTTGTGGAATCTGGCCACTAGACTTCACTCTACCAAGATTTTTGGACCTTTGAGGGACATTTTCTGCATTTGCTGTATGAGAAACTACAATATTGTATGTAAAACTTTACTTTTATTAAAACTCAAACCTTTTCCACTGCACAATAAATTTTCAGATACCCTATACTTCTTGGTCTTTTATCTGTTAACTGTAATTGATAGGTACTAGATTACTAAAGATTACTAAATTTTTTATAATTATTTAATAATTTAAAGTTTTCAATATATATCTGAACATTTTATGTCTTAACTAATTACATTTATTGTCATTCGACTGTTTTCTCCACAGAAAATGGAAGAACAGCTTTCAAAAACTACAACAGAAGAAGAACAAATAAAATTATTTCATACAAACCATGATGAAGCATATATGTATATATCACAAGGTTTGAGTTATGAAGAACAAGGACAAAATATTTTAGCAAAAGAAATGTATCAGAGAGGAATTCAAAAAATGGAAACCGCTTTGGCCATTCGTTGTGATCAACCGTATTGTACCGGGGAAAGATGGAACAAAATCAGAAATATGCAACATAAAATGAGATTAACATTACAGAAAGTAAATATTCAAGTTTCTACCATTGGAGATAATGCAGTTCCTGCGGCAACTAGCGAAACAAATAATAGCCACGGAAATAAAATATTAGATAGACCACCATCGTACGAAGAAGCTTGTGGCTATGCATCATTGGGATCTGCTTCATTTAATGGAAGTAATACGTGTAATTATCAAAAAGATGTAAATAGTAATAGTAAAGATTCACCGGTCGATTATAAGGAATTATCAAGCGAAGCAAGAATGGAACGATCCCACTCCATGGGTGCGGAAGAAATATTTTCCATTGCCGACGGAGTACAAATTTTTTTTATATCGCGAGAAGAATATGTCAGTGCTCCGTCGTATCCTTCTTCTCTTCATATATATAAATTTGTTGATGCTCAAGAGGCAGCTGCACAAAACAGTCCACAAGCTTGGTTACAAATTGGCGATTGGATTTATCCGTTAGATCCTGGAAAATCACCTGTTTTACACAGTGGTTATGGTGCCTTCATTTTTCCAGACGTTGCAGCAAATCAAACAGGTTTGTGCAATTTTTATTACAAAATTTCAATTCAATGTATTCAATATTATATACAATATGCTAATAATAATATTGCTTTATTAAAATTTTATAAGTTTAAGACATTTTAAGCTGGTATGGTAAATATTTTATATTAATATTGTATAATAATATCTTCTATGCTGTATTGTCTTCTTATAGTAAACAAAGATGGGTAAAGTAATAGTTTAAGGATTTTAGAATAAAATCAGTGATTAAAAATATTTCAATAGTTTGTCTTAAGTATAAAAATTTAATTAACACTAAAATTTTCTTTTAGGTTCTTCCATAGGTGTAATACTGCCATCAGAATTGGACCAATCGACTAAAGATTTATTTGAAGCAATATTAATTGAATTAACAGCATTGAAAAAAGAAAAATTTCTGTCTTTAAAAGAGATAGATGCTAAAGAGCGCGTGAGTTATAAAATTTCTCAGGGAATTGTTGCAGGTAACTTTGCATTATTAGTTTATTTCTGTTATTAAATTCCTCTAATTCAGTACAATGAACTAACTGATTAAATATGAAACGGTACTTACTGTTGCCAGTTACAAAAAATTGCTGGTTTAAATTAAAATGCATGTACACATATACAAGCACTCGCATACATACTAATCCTCAAAGAACTTTTGTATTATACATTTTAATACATTGTTATTGTTTTTTATACGTTTTATTTCAGGGAATGTAGAAACAACACTTATGCCAATAAAATAATGAATATATTGATTTTAAGCAAAAAGTTTTATTTTTCATTAGAAACCAAACATTATTGCACATTTTTAATAGATATAAATATAGTAGCATAGTAAAAAGTTGCTTTTATTTTTATAGAAGTCATCAAACTTTAATTTTGTATAAAATGTCTTTCAGATATAGTCTAGTCCATCTTCAGATCTTAATATATAAATTGATCAATGTAAATGTTTTAAAGAATACAAAGTTTTTAAACAAAAATGAAGAACAAAGTATTAACTCCCACTTGCACAATAACATATTGTGCAAGTGGGAGTTAAGCCAAATGCACATATACTTAAAAGGTTCACTCTGCATCACAAAGAGAAATTATTTCAGAAGTCTGATCTCTTTAAAGAAAAACAGAAGCTCTCTAAAGGAAAGCTGAGAGTTGTCAAGAAAAGGAGATCCCAGATGAGTCTCTGTGAGTAAAGATCTTCACTGTCAAAGAGGAATCTCTTCAGTAGATGCACAAAAGCAGCGGATCGAGGAGAAAAGTTTTAGTCAGCACAAATGTTTATGAAAGTTTACAAAAAGCAAAGAAATCCTTAGATCACTCACAAGTAAGCTAGGCAAAATGTCTTACTTTGTTTTAAACTAGGAGTTAACCTGCACTTAGAATGTTTGGAGATTGTCTTTTTTTACAAAGAACAGAGCATGCTTTAGAACAATTTTCAAATATTTAAGGACAATGCTTTAAGCTATCTAACAAGTATAGTGATATAACATGCACCCTAATTAAGACATAAATAAAATAAAAAAACAAATATATTTTCCTATAAACTATAATTATAATTAAGGAATTATTTTAGAGATTTTATTATGGAAAATAATAATCGGTCATTTATAGGAGCGGAGTTATTATCTGAGGGTTTATCAAAGGGTGTGGAATTGACAAATGATCTTATGAAGAAAGGTGCTTCAAAACTGAGAGAGAAAGTAAGCCCCGAAAGTAGACCTGTAGATATAGATCCTAGAGTTCAAAAAGGTCTTACCATTGCTAGAAATGTCTCGGGAACGGTTTTGACCGTCAGTGGCTTTTTAGGTAAATATTTATCCTATAATTTTTATAGTAATTTTGAATAATACAATTTTCAATAATTTTATTTAAAAATTTTAATTTTAGTTTCAAAACTTGGAAAACTAACTATTGCATTGGGTCACCAGTTAGCTCCTCATGTTAGAAAGCAAGGGGAAAGAGCAATGGCAGCTGTATTTAACACCGATGCCGTTGATTCACAGAAAAAAATGGATGATGTGATGATAGTGGCTGCTGGAGGACTGAAAGGTATGTTTACGTAATGTATAAGGCCTTTGATTATGTTTGTATTTTGTTTTAGAATTTTAGCTCTGCACCTTTTTTCTTAAGTATCCAACTAAACTGTAAAAATCAATAGTTTATTCCATAAATAACACTAGAATATAATTGAATATCTTCTAGCATCTCTTTATTTTAACATTAGTGTATCTTAATTTTTTTAAGGACCAGGTTTTAATCTCAAAATTAAACCGTAATTCCTCAATGTGTTGCATGAGTATAAATCTTTGTGATAAACTGCAAGTGAGTTAACTGAGTTTGGGTATTTAAAATTTATTCTGTAGATTAACAAAGTAACTAGATGGCTGACCAGTTCCAATTTTGATATGTTTAATTTTTATTTAGAATATTTATAGGAGATTTATCCTAATATTGTCGGAATATTTTTAAGAAAGATCTGCTCTTATAATATTGTACGGTGATTGTAAGTTTTTAGAATCAGTTTCACATTGTCAGAGTTAAATAAATCTTACTTTATAATGTGAAATAATAATTTTAATATATAATATTTATATTAAAATACTGTAGATAGAATTCATCAAAACTATTAATAATTCATCCCATGTTTTTGTTTATTCAATTTTTCCATCTTTGTCTTGTTTATTGTTTATCTCAATAATGCAACTGCACAGAAAAAATTTGTCAGCTGACAAGCCAAAGAAACATGTGCAACAAGCATAGCTTATTCTTTAGATTAGTGACAAGGTCAGATTATTTCACAGATAGTTATTCTGTGGTTTATACAGTAACACACGAAAATAGTAATAGTCATCCAATAGTCAAAATTGCTTTGTATTAGAAGTCAGCAATTTTTTTATTATTGGCAAAGATCTTTTGGATAATTAATCATCCAGCATCATCCAGCATCAGAATAAACTATAAAAATAATAATAATTAATATCAAACAAAAAATAGTTATTATTATCATCTAACATAACAATTTACAGATTTTAGATTGACCATACAGACATGATAAAAGAATGTTTTTCAAAAGAATATTCTTTTCAGAATTCAAAATCAAAATATAAAGAAAAGATTTGTTGAAATGAGTTGTAGATTGTTAAGTCTCTTTAAAAAGGGCATTTTGTTAGATGGACCATCTGATGAGACTTTGACTTGTAATATACTTGGCTGCAGAACAGCTGCTGGTTATAAAGTATTATTGCAATCACTGGCTTGTGATTGATTATTGACTAAAAGGAGGAAAGTAGATTTCCAGTTTTGACAACTACTGAAAACACAGACTGACTATGTAAGATTTTGCAGTTTAATGAGCTTAAGATTTTTTAATTCTTTCCTCCATGTAGGCACTTTTAAACCCATCATGTCCAGACCCACAGTGGAGGCAGTTGGATGCTGAGAGGCAGGGCCTAACAAATCTGGGAAAGATATCCTCTAAAAAATTCCTTGGGTTTTTCAACTGCTTGATTTGATTCTGGGTCCTTTATAGTGATAGGCTGATGCCTTAACTGCCTTGACCATCTGGCTGTCAGATGTTTATCATTTAGGCAAACAAACAAATTTGTGATGATGGCAATTACAATATGGATATCTCTCATACAAAAATTACTTTCTGTTCATAGTGAAAATGAGCAGTGTCTCAGTCTCACTGCTATACATGTATCCTATGCACGAAATTAATTGTGGCAATCCCTTTTTATAAGCGGCAGAAATTTTAATTAATGCAACTTTAACAACTGTCTTTATTTAACTTAGATATATTTTTCTTGGCAAATAAGGTGTTAGTGAATTATTCATTTTCATTTATTAAAATAAAAATATTTGTTATTAACCAAAAATTTGTTTTAGCGGGGGTGGTGATTGTTCAGATGAGTATCGAGGTACCACTATATTTGATGAACACATATTTGATATACGTGATAGCATCGAAGGCTTAATTAACCACGTTAATCAAGGGATACCTTTACTGCCTGATAGAACTGCCAAAACAGTGCTGAGATACTTATGCAGAAGCTACTTATAAGCACCCAGTTGATTAGTCACTCGGACAATGTAAAGACACACATTTGATCCAGTGTTCTGCAAGGTTGTGAAATGGGCAAACATCTATATCGGACTTGTGAACTGGTAGCAGGGAGATTGGGTGGATTTGTCATCTGGATGCAGATTTCACTGTGTATGGTATGAAAAAGCCTTCAATAGATTTCTATTCATTTGGGTGACATTCAACGCCCAAGTTTTATCTAGACAAGCAAACACCCAGATTGTGTGAAAGTGGCCTAAAGAACTCTTCAACCGCATGTGACTGTATAAATAGTTCCATTGCATAAATGTGCTACATTATATTCAAGCATTTCATTGCTAACTAATGAAGAAGTGTCTAATTTCCAAGTTATCTCTATACAGTCTGTCATACACAAAAAACATTTGTTTCTATCAGACCCTGTGTATAGTTATCAAACAAGTACTACACTGTATATGTTTAGTCATGTATTTTTTTCTCCCCCAAAGCAACAGTCATTAAAGTCTAACCCATACATCTTTATTCAAAGTAGTATATTATCATAATCTGGCAAATTAAAGAAAAAAAATACACGAATAAATTTTGCCGCCAGCCTGGCATGTTTTCGTGAAATATCAAATAAAATTTTTCTTTGATGAAGTCCATATTTTCTACAGATGTATACTACATGTATAAATTAATAATTCATAAAAATTTTGATTATTTATAATTTTTAAAAATAGGTTTTTCCACCATTTACATGGGCCTCGAATCTTCCGCAAGATCACTTGCTCGTTGCCTTACTAATGAAACTGTACAGACTGTCAATCACAAGTAAGTTTTGTTTATTTTGTTTGTTGCTTTATTCAATAATTGTAATTTAATTAATAATTTGAATACATTTACAGATATGGCAGTAGTGCAAGTGCCACGGTCGACAATACAATGAATGCGATAGGCAACATGGCACTGAGTGCATACAATATTAATTCTCTCGGCGTCAAGGCAATAGCTAAGAGAACGGCCAAGGATACTGGAAGGGCGGTACTCGAAGACTACATAGACGCCACCGATCCTGGTTCGGAATATCACAGACGGCATAATGGCGAACCTTCTAATTATCCAGAAAAATCCGATCCAGCAAATAAAAATTGTAAATAATTAAATTACCGAAATACTAAAATATTTTTGTATTAACAAAATTCTCAAAAATAGCGCATTTAAAAAATATTTAGAAGTTTGTTTAACATGTGCTTACAGCAATTTTTAAATTTTGAGTGAAGGCGATGTCTTTAAAAACATCCTTTTTATACCAATGCCTATATAATTATATAAACTTTATTTATATTCAACAAATATTCTTCCATTAATGAATTTATAATAACTCAATTGGTTTTATTCCTACATTTTATAATTTGCTATCTAATAATTAAAATAATTCATAAGTATTTCCTACTCTTGAAAATGGTAATTGAAATCCTTTGAATCAATAAAATACTTACATTAAACAATTTTTATTCAATTTAAAGCATGATCTAAAGAATAAAATTAAATAATATGTAGAATTTTATTAATTTCTTTCTAACAAGTAAGTTTAAAAAAAATAGAGATAATAGGTTTTAAGTATTAATATTGGATTGTCTAGAAAACTCATGCCGATTTTCCCCATTAAAAACTGTGAATATTTTTTATTTGCTTAATTAAATTTTAATTAATATTTTCTCTTCATTCTTACGATCCTCTTCTGTTTACCAAATACTATTAGAGAGATTGAGGCGCACGTTTTAAACATGTAAACGTGTACGTGTGACGTTCGGCGCCGCTTTCCCGTAAGCCTAAAAGTTTGACAATGGTGTTTGGAATGTCGAGCGTGATTCCACCGATTATCCAAACACCATTGTCAAACTTTTAGGCTTGCAGGAAAGCGGCGCCGAATGTCACACGTACACGTTTACATGTTTAAAACGTGCGCCTCAACCTCTCTATTATTTCTGTATTGTAACTTGTAATATTACTGAAATTTCCTGCAAATAATCCATGATTGCCTGCATTTAGTCTGTTTGAAAGCGGATTCAGGTCTGCTGTCAATTTTCAATTGCAGTTGTGAGCTCACCCAGTAGCTTTTCTATTGTATAACTTGCTATGTATGTCTTTAAAAATTATGAAAAAACCTTTTTGTATTGCACATATTCGTTCTAAGGTTGGTTATTATTATTAAACCCGCATATTATTAGACGCCACTACTTAAACTTAAAAACAAACTTTACCTTCTTTCTATGTAATGACTATCAAAGAATTATTTAGAAGCTGGCTGTCAATTTTAGCATACATTAATTCTCTACATTGAATAAGAAATGAGTAATTGACTATTGAATTCATGCCATTGGATATTGTAGAGTTTATGTACAGCTTTCTTAGTAAAAATGACGACGACGACATTAATGGCAATTACTTTTTTTACTCTGGTTTGGCAATCGTCCTTTCTAGAAACAGTTTTGACTGTAAGTAGTTTATCAAATATTAAATATACTACAGATATTTTTTTTTAATTGAATGTTTTTTAGTATGGCATTTATTATAGTCTATCTACAAAAGATGACTTACAAAATCATTCGTCTTAAACATCAAAGAGACTGGCCGACTTTCCGGTCAGTCTCCTTGATGTTTGAGATATGTGACTTGATAATTGTAATGGCAGTAGAAAGAAATGAATTTAGGGGATATGCGGGGCATACCTGCGTTCCCTTCTAAGGATATTTCCGGAGTAAAACCGGGTACCTCGGATAGTAAAATATTTTATAAGGTGCATTGTTTCCTTTCTTCATCCTTCCCTAAAGATTTCTGGATCCATTATTGCTAGTAGGCTATAAAGTCTTGCTATTTTCATTACTATAAAGTGAATTCTGAGGACTAAAATAATTGTATATGTTAAAAATAACTCTGTTAATTTGACCATACAATATATTTCCATTTAATTTTTGCCTGCAAGGTATTTCTTTCTGCCATTCTGTCTTATTAGGGGCTATAAAACACACAAAATGGTATAACTTTCTGGACAACATTGTATAAATTATTTTTATATAAAGAGCAGCTGAAAGTGTTTCAAAATGTTTTGTTTCTTCTTATGCAGTATTTGTGTGTTTAGTTTAATAATGCAGTTATTTTTAATCAGTTAAGTACTCAATTTGTGTTCTAAAGTTTTTTTTATAAAGATTTACTTTGAAAGAACTTATATTAGTTATTTGAATACTAAATTAGTTTGTAGTTTGTGTTTAAATACAATAGACACTCGCTAATGCATCCGTTCCTTATATTTGGCCATTCTTGCAGATTACTGAGAGTATATAGACCTAAAACCTGCTTAAAGCCAGTGAATGGTACGACCTATTCCCCCCTTTACTACTGATCATTTTTGGAAACAGGTAGGCAAATAATATGGCATGCAAAAATGCTATACAGGTCGATCTTTACTAATCTGTCATCACTGGAAGATGCCAGATTAGTGATTTTGCTAGAGCGGCTAGATTAGAATATACTTAACTTGATGCCAGCAGTGTGTATGCAGCAGGTAGACAAGTTGGTATGACGACCTGAAAAATTTGAAATTATGCTAGCCAAAATTAGTACCAGATTAGTGATGGTCAATATACTATTATATTTTACTACTGCAATACTGGAAGGTATGCAAAATAATTGAAAGGCCAAATTAGTGAGAGTTTGCTGTATCTATTTTTGCATTTATGTAGTAAAATTCAGTTATATGTAATTTCTGAATTAAAACCGAATATTATTATCTGTGATGAAATATAATAAATACGGCAATTTCGAGGAGAATAATTCTCGAAAGTGTCGAACGAAAACATTTCCTTCGTCGTTACAAAACTCAATCAATTTAATTACAAATTAGCAAATGTTTTTTGCTGGAAGTAATCAGATTTGATCATGTATTTGTCTGATTTATTTTTGTAATGTTAATTGTCTTAATTTTCTGAAAGTGTTTAATGAATTGTTTGAATTTTGACTCTTGGAAGGAAGGATTATGATAAATTTTAATTTAATAAATATTTTAAAAAGATTATTTTTTGTGTGTGAAATATGTTAATGAAGTCATTTAAGTTAAGAACTTTCTAAAATAGGTAATTTCTTTATTCATATGCCCACCAGTGGTCGAGTGGATAAAACCACCCCAGCACTGGTAGTTTCTCGGGAGTTCATGCCTTGCCAACGTGTTGTCCACGTGGAGTTTACTGGGCTTTCTTCGCACGTAAATAGGGGCCAGTTTTCCATAAAATCCTCCTGAAGCATCCCCATTGACAGATCACTCTGCTGACTTCAAACTTGCAGACTTCTTACTCTGTTGTATCCTTGCCCAATTTGCACAACCTTGGCGTTACGCAGTTATGGGGCATGGTTAAAAATTAAGACAGCGTAAGCACAATTAATCCAGATATTACAGGTTCCGACAAGTAAAAAAATTTTCAGAGTCTTACCACACAAATAAGCCACGTATTGATTATTGACCATTTGTGAGGTGCCATAACGAGCAAAAGATTTAATTAAACTAATATAGTAGGTTTAAAATTAATAAATACAAATGTATTCTGATCGTTTACGAGTTAATTATACTTTCTATTTGCAAAATTTCCTTAACCTTAACACAAAATAAGAAAAACGTGAATTTTTAATAAATTTGTGGGATTTCCCGGGTTAAAAAAACAACCGGGATCCCATTTGAGAAACCCTAGGATACACCCATATGCACCAACGGTTCCTATAAAGTTTGATTTTTCCTCGGCATCTACAGAGACGGCCAGTAATGCCTCAAAGACCACTAAAGTGAACGTTTTTGGCTAACGTAGATGATGATACCCATGATGAGCGGAGCGTGCAGCAGCAAGACGAAGCTCAAATACCCGACCCATCACATCTGATGATCAAGCTCATAGTGGCTTTTTTTTTACAAATTGCCACAATTAATTTTCCCTAAATTCACTAATCTAAAATGCAACAAAGTTAGAGGAGAAGGTGGTATTATGGAACCCCATTTTCATTATAGCGTGAACATCACACAGATTAATATGTACAGGTACCCCTAAGACTCTAGAACGGAATACATGCACCAGTGAACCTACAACTACACGATTTATATTTTAGAAATAATTAAATTCATTTACCATTTAAAACTTTCGAATTTCGAAAAACACAAATATTCTAATTCACTACGGACAACCATTTAACTGAAGTGAAACGGATTTTCCCCTTGCTATGGGTGTCTGCCTGGTGCAGTTCAGCCGCAATCCGCTACAGTTCGCCTTAATTATCAGTTTGAAATGGAGGAAGTTCCATAATACCACCTTCTCCCTATATCACTGTATAATATCTCTCTCTCACCGTTTAACCCGGAGAGGCGATAGCGGGAATTCTGTATATTTGACCTTGAAAAATAAATTAACACCGAAATTTTTTACTTTCTAAACAATACACAATCCCGACAGTTTATGCATTTTATTAAATTTACTAGCAGACCCCGCCACGCCTTGTTGTGGCTCAAAATGTATCTATTATAAATGTATAACACTTCCCCCTAGGAGAAAATTTTTCGAAAAATTTCTTCTTAGTGTACATTCTCTTGACGTACCCTATTAAAACGCGATCAAAAATGCAAAAACCCGCATCTAAAATAGTATAATAGAAGTGAAGTTATTCACAGTAAGCCTTAATCCTGTCTCTCTCCCCGGGGGGAATATCGAAAAATCCCTTCTTTGTGTACATTCTGTTGACGTACTCTATTAAAATGCAATCAAAAATGCAAAAAACCGCATCTAAAATAGTATAAATAGAAGCAGAGTTCTTTACAGTAAGCCTTCCCCGTAAGGCTTACCGTAAAGAACTGTCCATCTCCCATGTTTAACGGAATAATATACAGCCTATGTCCACCCTGAAGTTCCATTCTAAATATTGGTAAAAGAATTTTTGAAATAGGATGAGTAGTTTTGGAGATTACCTGCTGCATCCAAACTTACATACAAACATTACCTCTTTATTATATTAGTATAGATTACAAAATTTCCATCATTTTCATTTCTACTTATGGTATCTATCATTCGTAAAGTGATAAAAGGTTAGAGGAGAGTGTAGTTTTGTTGAACGTCCGAAGAGGGGAGGTGTTACGCATCACCGGACATTACAGCGAAAGTCGGGTGCGGTTTTGGTTTCGGTTTCGGTTTTTCGAAATCTTTAGGAACTTGTTTCAGTTTTTGAATCCTCTTCGTACAAGAAATATTGTCAAAGTAAGTTGAGCATTAAATGTGTGTACTTTATACGTACTTTGTTCTTTGTTACCCCCACCATTATTATACGTGCATTATCTGTTTCGCGATTAATTTGAATGTCATTTCTGAAATAATAATTTTAAGATAAAAATCGAAAACGTAATCAAGTCATCCTTTTAACTATAACGTGTGCCGGGCTGTGAATGGCTCAGGTACAGTATTTGTAAAATCTAAGTGACTCGTACAACATGGAATTCATATAAAACGGAATTATTAACAGTGTTATAGGGGGGGTCGACTGTACTTTCTATTTGCAAAATTTCCTTAACCTTAACACAAAATAAGAAAAGCGTGAATTTTTAAGAAATTTGTGGGATTTCCCGGGTTAAAAAAACAACCGGGATCCCGTTTGAGAAACCCTAGAATACACTCATATAAAATTGTGTATTTGTGACGAACAATCGCGTCTGTATTAGGTATTTCTTGCAGTTCACAAATTTCTGCCTTAAAATGTCATGGCGGAAGTATTGTACAGTACGTTCGATTCGCTCCAAAGATGGCGGCTTTTCTTCTTCTTCTTCTTTCTTTCTTATTAATATGGAAACTCTAGCCTATTGGCTTTTTCTCCGAATCACAGATGGCGGCTTGGTTCAATCTACTAGTTATATGTCGTTGGTTTTAAATGTCGCCGGAAAAGTTAAGCAACTCGTTGCTGGATTTTTTTTTTCTTTTTCACTACTTTATCATTTAGGTCTACTTCCTTTAATAGAGTTTATTAGTAAAATGGTAGTTTGCTACTCAAGATAAAAATAATTCAATTTTTATAGTAATATTTCATTTTGCATTTAAAATGGGAGATACCAGGAGGGAGGCAAAAGGAGCTTCACGGAGCAAAACGCGCAAGAACTTCATAAACCATGGATAGAAATAAAAATCAAAAGTACAGTATATCGATGGATTTCTTAATACAATGAATAATAACAGCAAGCGAGAATCCAATGACAAGAATCCGCATTGTGCCCTCTTCGTCTCTCCTCGACTTATAATCTCCAGAACTTAATACCATCGACGTCTTATATATTGAAATAATCGCGTCAAATTTCAAAATGGTCCACCATGCCACCATTTCTTTTAAAGTCTCTCCACCCCGTGGGCACTAAAACCAGCTTTTTATCGAGTCCATTATGGATTCGAGTGGGCCCAAATGGGATCGTCTTTTTATCAAGACGCCCCCTCGTTGTGACGGAAAATTTCGACCCGTTCGGATTCGATCTCGGGGTGGTCTCCCGCTTTTTCCGTTCAGACATACAGCCGTCCCGAAACGAAAGCCGAAACACAGACAGAATTTTGTATCCGTTTTTTTTTTTTTTTTTTTTTTTTTGACGTTTCTGGAATTAGAGAATTTTTAAAATGTGGATAAATAGAAAATTCCATCGATTACAATACTCTAACAGCCGGGAAAATAATAATGTATTGTGAATAATAAAAGTACTGTCGGAGTCGGAGACGCTAGATGGCGCTCGAGGATCGATGAGGGAATGTCGGCGATTTTAAAAACCGGTAAGCTTACGAATCTTTACAAATAAGTGTTTTTAAATACGAAAAATTAGACGAGAATGTCTTAGAAAAGGCTTTACCAACACCACCGCTCGGTATTGTACTTAGTGTTTACTAAAACACCGGTTAACGGGTGTGGCCCGTTGAATGAACGTGTTCCTTCTGTAATTAAAGGGTCGAGCCGATTTTCTGCTCCAGATTAAGAATACGACACCTAGCGGTTCCAGTAAGGTATTGATCCCTACCTTTGATATTCACACGGACTGGGAAGTATTGGCGTGTTTTTCACTATATATTTGGGTAATCTAATACTAATTATTAATAAGTCATGTATCTGGAGTCCCCGGAGGGTCTTAATTCACTGCACATATATGCACGCGGTGGCGAAATAAAACGTGGCAATACTTTCCGGTCCGTCCGATTAGCAAAGGGAAGGATCGATGCCTTACCGGAACCATTGGGTGTCCCTAATTGGAGCAGAAAATCGGCTCGATCCTTTGACGGGTGACACTCCTTGATAGATGATATATATACTGTATATATAAAGGTGTTAGGAAGCAGCAGTCTGTCATGGCCAAACCACTTTTTGCTTACAATGTTACAAATACAATTCTACGTGGGCTGTTTTTTTTTTCCAACTTTCGATGGTCCATAAAAAAAAGACACATGTAAATAACGAAATGAATCTATTATCAAAAGTTAGGTACAAACATGATTACTTTTTGACATAAACACCACAGAAATTGAAGTATTTGTCATATTGTGGATGAGCTTTTCCATCCTCTTGTCATAGAATGTTGCCGCCAGCGAATTTAGATGGCCTTAACAGTGTTGTTTTGAAGATCGTCATTAGTCTCAAAACTCTGCCATATTAGCCACGTATTCAGTTCGGGAAAGAGGTGGAAGTCTTCAGGCATTAAAGAGTTCCAAGCTGGGTGGAAGTCTGAAACGTGGAAGTCTTTACCACCTTTAAACATCCAGCGTATAGCCCCGATTTAGCACCTAGCGATTTCCACCTCTTTCCCAAACAGAAAAAGTGGCTCTAAAAACCTCTAAATTTTAAATTTGAAGGGACTAAAATTGGCTAGTTGGAGTAATGTAGAATTCTACCTACGTATATGGTAATAAAATAGGAAAATGTGCAGTCACATAATTGAACGTAGGGAATTGTAAAAAATTTGAAACAATAAAATTTTATACTGCATATTTACGTGAAGTGTCATTTTCAGCACTGACAATTATAAAATCAAAATGTCAGTTAACTTTGAAAACATTGAAGAATGCCCCACATTCCCACAGTACCAAATATTTGGCCAAGATTTAATTATTTTGTATACTGAAACAAGCACGTCCATCTCATTAGTATACAAATTTGCTTTTGTCTTTAATAAATGGTAAAATTAACATGTATATCAAAGAATTGTTTTATGATTTATTATCAGTAAGCGATATTGTTTGTATACTATTTTATATGTGTATATAATGAGGGTCATGAATGGAAAAAGTTTAAGAAGCCCCATTCTATATAATAATGTTTATTCGTACAAAACACATTGAGACCTTGCCGAGAAACACTTGTAAAGCTGGGACAACTGTTAATCAACAAGGAAATAAACTATTAACGAAAGAGAATAGGCTAAACTTATTTCTAACGGATTGTGATGAAAAATAATTCAGTTTCTAATAATTTTGCAAAACTTTTGTTTCTATAATTCTGCTTTTTGTACAACCAATGATGTTTCTGTAAGAATTTTTTAAAGAATACTTATAGCTTTATATTACACTGTAGTAAAGAATTAACAAGAGCTTATGTAAATATTTTAATCAGCTAAATAGTTGATTAAAAATATTACTTTTAATGATTATTTCTTTGTAATAAGTATAGCACGGCGCCAATTATCGTTCAGGTGTATCATCTATTAGTCGTTATGTACAAACATTATAAATTGCAATTATGTAATTCTATGTTTTAATAAATGAATCCCAGCTGATGCCATTCTTCCTCTTTCCCCTTCTATTACTATTCCCTAATTCTCCCTTTTCTCCTTATCCCATGTCCTTGACCCCTCCTTCCTTCCTTTCTCCTTCTAGGGCTATACCTCCGAGTAAGGCCTCACCCCCCTCTTACCAACTGTAATAAGTATAGGATGGGTGGCAAACCTATGGCACTTAAGGAGAAGTCATCTGACATGCAACGTATCATATGATTTTGATTTATCATCTGTCTTATTCAATTGTTCTTTTGGTTTATCATCAGATCATTCTTTTATCCAATCAGCTTTTTTATATTTATTGTAATTAAAGCATATTTGTTTAATTTCTTTAAATATTGTTATTCGAAGTCAAAAATGTTGGCACGCATAAACATGTTTAAAGCTAAGTATGCTTACTATATGGCATGTGGGATCAAAAAGGTTTGCCATCCCTGGTATAGGATATTGTTCTGCATCCAAATTTTCCTGAAACATCATTCAGTTTTTAGGATCCTTGTGCATTTGCAAATGATACTATACATTGGTAGTAATAATAGGTGTTGTTTTTGGAACATGGTATAGGAAGTAGCAGTGCGGACTCTGCACAATTATTTGTACGATCCTGCATGCATCTTACCTACCAGATAACAAATTAGAAAGGAAGGGGTGGTGATGAAGAATGATGAAGATGAGCACAAACCAGGCTGAGTTTTACTAAAGCACTTTCTTGTGCTCAAGTTTGTGAGAAAGTCTTTGTATATCACTGAAAGTGATAAAGCAAACATCATGAATCTCAAAAGTTTATTATTCAGTTTGAAAAGAAAAAGTGCTACTAAACAAATGAACTTTTCTTTAAAAAAATAATGCAGTAATTTATATACATATATGTCTCTGCATCAACCATTTGTCCTTGTGGTGTTTTATTTTTAGGGTAGCTTCTCACAAATAATTGAAACGTGACTATGAAATAACATAGGCACCATAACATAACACAATTTTACTATTCAAACACCCTACAAGAACTGGTCCTTGTCTCATCACAATCCTTTGTTTACTTACAAAATCCATTCTGGTCCTCTTTGGATCTTTCCCTTGGATCCTAACTAGCTTCATCCATTACATCCCTCTCTACTAGAAATGAACTATTTCCAACAGAAATGTATCAGGCTGGGTTTACAAAATACATACAATACATGGCTAAACTCTTATACATAGAAGAGTATTACAAATTGTATTGTGGATTTTTTTAAGCCTAAAATATTTGGCTTTTTTTAGTAACTTCATCACACAAGGAACTTTTATTGATATAGACTTTATTACTGGATGTGGATATGCATTTTGGGTCTTAATGATCCCTCTTCAGTCCTAATTTTTTATACAGATATTAGCTGATTANGGAAAAACATCTGGCAACATCAGAAGCAGAAGCGTCGAGATCTGGCAACATTGAAACAAGTTTCTAGAAGGATCATGTGTATAGACAGAAGGCAAGAAAAGAAAATTTACATACTTAAGTACTAATAGTTCACGAAAATAATAATTTTTGTGAACTGTTATTACTTAAGTATGTAAAAATTTATTACATTTCATATTGTAGGAGGGTTTTATCCAATTCTCGAACCGTGTCAGAGTGAAACCGTGCTATAACAGTACCGTGTTATATGGGGGTGGTACCAATTCTCGAACTGTGTTAGAGTGAATCCGTGCTATAGAAGTGCCGTGTTATACGGGGGTTACCTGTAATACCATTTAAATTATTTATCATTTTGTGTAAGCTTGAGAGAAATTTTGAATCCTGAAAATATTCTGCACTTGTTTTCATAAGTTGTATTGCACCACATTACTTCTTACTGCCTACAGACAGCTACACTTAGTCAAGCATATTGTCAGCAAAAAGTCAATAAGGCAGCCAAGGAAGCAAATTCCCCAACTTTTTGACAATTTTTAACGTAATCCCTGACATTCCGTGACTTTTTCTGAAAATTAATGAATATCCCTGACTTTCCAGGTACATAGGCACCCTGTATATTATATGAAAATTTATGCAAAACAGTTTCATGAAATCACAAGTAGATAATTATCCATCTTTACATCATCATCAATTAAATCAGATAAAGCGAACTAACATATAAGTTTTGTAAAATACATTTGTAGTTTTGTTTCTTTTAATAACTTTCAAATGTAATTTTCTCAGTCAGAAATTATCATAGGAGTTTAAATTTGTAACCAACACTTTAATGCAAGTTTTAAAATTAAAAAAAAAACTCTCTCTTTACTGGAGAACTCATTCACATTAGTACAAATAACAAAATAACAGTAAGCCGTCACTGGCAGTATTATTTATTTTTGGCTGTTCAAGCAACTATTGTAAGGATAAAAATTATATTTTACATTCCTTTCTTCCGTATACTGACAGTGGCTGCTCCAACAGCCAAAAACATTTGAGAAAATAAAGCACTGCCGATGAAGGCTTATTTTAACCCGAATGCTTTTGAACTTCCTTCACCGTCAGGGGTGCTAATTCGAAAATCCTGGAAATGTATACTGATTTTTTCCAAAAATGCAAGCTTTTCATTCCATAAATTCGAATTTAAAATGATTTGTTATTCTAAAATTTTAACCCCAATGATATAAAATAATAATGATTAATGAAAGCACTCAATTCGTTAATTGAATTTTGTGTTATTTCAATGTGTTGTAGCACCCGAAAATGGTTCAAGTTAATGTTATAATTTGTTGGCACAATTAGTACAGTATATTAAGTATAATAATAATAATATAATGATATAAGGTAAAATATAACATAACTATAATCACCGAATGTTTCAAAATATAAATTTTTTTCTTTTAGTTATGGTCGGAATTGCAACCAAATAATCCATTGGTCAATAGGATTTCAAAACAGTGGGGCGATATAGGATTTCAAGGAGACGACCCGAAGACCGATTTCCGAGGCATGGGTCTTCTAAGTCTGGAAAATTTATTGTGAGTATCAAAGTTTTGTTGGTAAGATTTTTAAGATAAACTAAC